TGTTCAATGCGCATGCACAATACACGTTTTAACAGGAAATGAAACAAGTGGACATTTCATCAATTATCAATTGTTTATAATATTTTTAAACTTTTTCATATATAAATATCTTTTATACTCTTATCATACATATAATTCTGTTAAATTCTATACCTTAAAGTTTTTCTTATTAATATTCTTAAAATAATTTGTTCTTTGAAAATTGTTAACTTATTTGTTTGTTTTAGAAATTAACTTTTTATTTCTTTTTTTTATGATGAAATAAAGGAAATTTAATATTTATTGAAAAACCTATAAAGCTATAATATTTACCTTATGTTACTTTAATATATTATTTGTAGAATAACAGTTATATTAACTGATAAAAAAATTCGAAAAGATTATCTTAACATTTAACAATAATTATTTTTTTTTACTTATTAAAAACATTATAAAATTGTTGAAGTAAATTATATCTTAGCCGACTGCAGTATCCGAAAACTTTTTTAAAAATGACAAGAAAATATATTGAGCGAATATTTCCGAATATTGTTTCCTAAGGCGTTTTTGGCTTGCAGCCACGGCTGCAAGCCATTTGTTTTGAATAACTTGTTCCGGTAAGGTGTATTCCTGTTTCCAATTGTTAGTGCATGATTGAACGGGAAACCAGCTGCAATCGTGCCAATCGCAACTTTTCGGCCTTTTCCGTCACTCTTCGGATTAATGATAATAGCCGATGTAGTTCCGATTGCAATCGTGACAATTCGGGCGATTCTGTCATACTGCGGAATCAGACGAAGTAATATTACGGAAATCTAAGCTATTTTAGTTACTTCCCAGTTTGTTTATATAAATAGGATTTCTTTTTTTACTTGATTTATCGGTTTAAACTGTAATAAATTATAAACGAAATTGTTCCGTTTCAATTGTTTTTCAAGACGCAAAAGTTAGTTTCTTTTATAATTGTTTTTTGTCTGTATTAGTTTTATACAATAGAGAACGGTGACTGTAGTAGTACTCCGTCTTCAAAGGGTGGTCCTGCTTACCAAATCACGCATGATCGAGTTATATTTAGATCTTCTGAACGCAATTCAACTTCTTGGTAAGGTAATCTAAAAATAGCCCATGCATATCATTAACCTTGCCACGTGCTGATCTACAGATAGCGCATCGTATTTTTGATCGTGTAACATAGTTGATACATGCTTATTAATTGGTACCACGTAACGAAGTATTTTAGTGCATTTACTTGTCTATAAAGCAAACGAATGATCATTTTCTTTATTAGTTTTATACAATAGAGAATAGATTTCAAATCGTTTTGACAAAAAATATTCGTTTTTCAAAAAAAACAACAAAAAAAAACAACTAAATAAACCCTTTATGATATACAAATACCGTAATTCAAAAAAAATTGTGATAATAAATTGAAACCAAAAAAAAAAAAAAAATTAAAGGGTTAATTGGGATGAAGGCACAACTGTGCAAGCCTTTCCTTTTAAAAGGAAACTTTATTCTTTTTAAAATAAAGTAGCAAAAAGTCGTTAGATAACATCTCTGACCGGACATCTCTGAACGGATATTACCTTAGGTGATTTTTCTTTTAAAATAAAGTAACAAAAGGTTGATGTATAACATCCTTACCTTAGGGGTAAAACAGATGTCAAGTTGATTTTAGATTGTTTTTTAATTTGTTAGAAATAGTTTGAAATGTTTGATATTTAATACTTTGTTTAATACTTTTTTTGAATATTTTTTTTATATAAGAAAAGGAGGAATTGTCGTATTGTTGATTGCACAGGCTAATAAGTCATACATACTATATTCAAAAAGAATGACAAGTCAACATGTATATACATATATTAGGGTTTTTATTTCGTAATGTGAACTATGGAACATGACTTTGATTTATGAATATTATGGTACAGGATACATGCAGACTGAGCTTATGTCAAAATGATTAATGCGAGTTCTACATGTAACTCTAAAACGCGTGTATTTATATACATTATAAAATGTCCTTATGACAGGTTGTCATTATATATACTATTCTCAAATGTTCAGTGAACAGTTCGAATTTGGTTCTTAAGTTTTATATTTGTGTATTTGTATTTGTATATTAAAAGTATGTAACATCCGTGAGTTCTCTCCTCCGTTATGCGACAACAGGAATAATGATCAACATCACTAAATTACAGGAATAATGATCACTATCACTGTGAAACTATGCACCTGGGACTTTGCATGTGGATTTTTGTGCCCCCACGTTAGTGGCGGGCATTTAGATTTACTTCCGTCCGTCCGTCCGTTCACTTTTGTGTCGCACGTAACTCAAAAAGTATTTGACCTAGAGTCATGAAACTTTACAGGAATGTTGATCAGCATGTGTAGTTGTGCACCTGGGTATTTTCATCTGGATATTTTTAGTATTTTTAGAATTATTGACCTTGACTTAGTAAAATTTTGCAATTTTCAACTTGTGTCGCATGTAACTCAAAAAGAATTTGACCTAGAGTCATGAAACTTTACAGGAATGTCGATCAGCATGTGTTGTTGTGCACCTGGGTATTTTTGTCTGGCTATATTTAGTATTTTTAAGTTATTGCCCTTGACTTAGTAAAATTTTGCAATTTTCAACTTGTGTCGCATGTAACTCAAAAGGTATTTGACCTAGAGTCATGAAACTTCAGAGGAATGTTGATCAGCATGTGCAGTTGTGCACCTGGGTATTTTCGTGTGGATATTTTCAGAGTTATTGCCCTTGACTTAGTAAAATTTTGCAATTTTCAACTTGTGTCGCATGTAACTCAAAAAGTATTCGACCTAGGTCATGAAACTTTACAGGAATGTTGATCAGCATGTGTAGTTGTGCACCTGGGTATTTTCGTGTGGATATTTTTAGTATTTTCAGAGTTATTATGCCCCCACTTCGAAGAAGAGGGGGTATATTGCTTTGCACTTGTCAGTCCGTCGGTCTGTCGGTCCGTCGGTTCGTAGACCAAATGGTTTCCGAGTGATAACTAAAGAACCCTTAGGCATAGGAACTTCAAACTTGGTATGGTGTTTGGTCATGACCAGCAGATGACCGCTATTGATTGTGGGGTCAAGGGGTCAAAGGTCAAGGTCACATTGACCTTGTAGTTAAAAACTGTTTCCGGTCAATAACTTAAGAATCCTTAAGGCTAGGAACTTCAAACTTGGTATGGTGATTGGTCATGACCAGCAAATGACCGCTATTGATTTTGGGGTCAAGGGGTCAAAGGTTAGGTCACATTGACCTTTTAGGTAAAAACCGTTTCCGATCAATAACTAAAGAACGCTTAGGCCTAGGTACTTCAAACTTGGTATGATAATTGGTCATGACCATCAGATGACCCCTATTGATTTTGGGGTCAAGGGGTCAAAGGTCAAGGTCATATTGACCTTGTAGGTGAAAACATTTTCCGATCAATAAATAAAGAACGCTTAGGCCTAGGTACTTTAAACTTGGTATCATGATTAGTCATGACCAGCAGATGACCCCTATTGATTTTGGGGTCAAGGGGTCAAAGGTCAAGGTCACATTGACCTTGTAGGTAAAAACGGTTTCCAATCAATAACTAAAGAACGCTTAGGCCTAGGAACTTCAAACTTGGTATGATGATTGGTCACGACCAGCAGATGACCCCTATTGATTTAGGGGGTCAAGGGGTCAAAGGTCAAGGTCACATTGATCTTGTAGGTAAAAACGGTTTCTGATCAATAACTAAAGAACCCTTAGGCATAGAGACTTCAAACTTGGTAAGATGATTGGTCATGACCAGCAGATGACCCCTATTGATATTGGAGTTAAGGGTGAAGGTCAAGGTCACATTGACCTTGTATGTAAAAAAGGTTTCTGATCAATAACTAAAGAACGCTTAGGCCTACGAATTTCAAACTTGGTATGATGATTGGTCATGACCAGCAGATGACCCCTTTTGATTTTGGGGTCAAAGGTCAAGGTCACATTGACCTTGTAGGTTAAAACGGTTTCCGATCAATAACTAAAGAACCCTTAGTCTTAGGAACTTCAAACTTTGTATGATGATTGGTCATAACCAGCAGATGACCCTTATTGATTTTGGGGTCAAGGGGTCAAAGGTCAAGGTCACATTGACCTTGTAGGTAAAAACGGTTTCCAATCAATAACTAAAGAACCCTTAGGCCTAGGAACTTCAAACTTGGTATGGTGATTGGCCATGACCAGTAGATGACCCATATTGATTTTGGGTTCAAGGGGTCAATGTCATAGTGACCTTGTACTAAATGACCGTTTCTGACCAATAACTCAACAACTCAAGTTGCCTTGGTTGATATTTTTATGTGCTTTTGGTATACACATTGGAAGGTCTTATGTAATATAACAACTTGGCTGTCATTAATGAGGCCTATGTGATTCATAAAATTTATGTATATATTATTTGGTAAGATTTTTAATAACTTTAATTGCTGCACACAACCTATGGGGTCACAATAATTATAACCTTGTGACTAGTCATGACCAGTAGATACTAGATAACCCTTACTAATTATGCCCCCTTTTGAAAAAAAGGGGGTATATTGCTTTGCACTTGTCGGTCCGTCGGTCCGTCGGTCCGTCGGTCCGTCGGTCCGTAGACCAAATGGTTTCCGAGTGATAACTAAAGAACCCTTAGGCCTAGGAACTTCAAACTTGGTATGGTGATTGGTCATGACAAGTAGATGACCCCTATTGATTTTGGGGTCAAGGGGTCAAAGGTCAAGGTCACATTGACCTTGTAAGCAAAAACGGTTTTCCGATCAATAACTAAAGAACCTTAAGGCCTAGGAACTTCAAACTTGGTATGGTGATTTTGTCATGATCAGTAGATGACCCCTATTGATTTTGGGGTCAAGGGGTCAAAGGTCAAGGTCACATTGACCTTGTAAGCAAAAACGGTTTCCGATCAATAACTAAAGAACCTTAAGGCCTAGGAACTTCAAACTTGGTATGGTGATTTGTCATGATCAGTAGATGACCCCTATTGATTTTGGGGTCAAGGGGTCAAAGGTCAAGGTCACATTGACCTTGTAAGCAAAAACGGTTTCCGATCAATAACTAAAGAACCTTAAGGCCTAGGAACTTCAAACTTGGTATGGTGATTTGTCATGATCATTAGATGACCCCTATTGATTTTGGGGTCAAGGGGTCAAAGGTCAAGGTCACATTGACCTTGTAAGCAAAAACGGTTTCCGATCAATAACTAAAGAACCTTAAGGCCTAGGAACTTCAAACTTGGTATGGTGATTGGTCATGATCAGTAGATGACCCCTAACAATTTTGGGGTCAAGGGGTCAAAGGTCAAGGTCACATTGACCTCTTGGGTAAAAACGGTTTCCGATCAATAACAAAAGAACCCTTAGGCCTAGGAACTTCAGACTTGGTATGGTGATTGGTTATGACCAGCAGATGACCCCTATTGATTTTAGGGTTTAGTGGTCAAAGGTCAAGGTCACATTGACCTTGAAGGTAAAAACGGTTTCCGATCAATAACGAAAGAACCCTTAGGCCTAGGGACTTCAAACTTGATATGGTGATTGGTCATGATCAGTAGATGACCCCTATTGATTTTGGAGTTAAGGGGTCAAAGGTCAAGGTCACATTGACCTTGTAGGTAAAAACGGTTTCCGATCAATAACGAAAGAACCCTTAGGCCTAGGGACTACAAACTTGATATGGTGATTGGTCATGATCAGTAGATGACCCCTTTTGATTTTGGGGTCAAGGGGTCAAAGGTCAAGGTCACATTGACCTCTTAGGTAAAAACAGTTTCGGATCAATAATTAAAGAACCCTTAGGCCTAGGAAGTTCAAACTTGGTATGGTGATTGGTCATGATCAGTAGATGACCCCTATTGATTTTGGGGTCAAGGGGTCAAAGGTCAAGGTAACATTGACCTCTTAGGTAAAAGCAGTTTCCGATCAATAACTAAAGAACCCTTAGGCCTAGGAACTTCAAACTTGGTATGGTGATTGGTCATGACCAGCAGATGACCCCTACTGATTTTGGGGTTAAGGGGTCAAAGGGAAAGGTCACATTGACCTTGTAGGTAAAAATGCTTTCCGATCAATAACTTAAGAACCCTTAGGCTTAGGAACTTCAAACTTGGTATGGTGATTGGTCATGACCAGCAGATGACCTATTGTTTTTAGGGTCAAGGGGTCAAAGGTCATGTAACATTGACCTTGTAGGGAAAAACAGTTGCCGATCAATTAACTAAAAACGCTTAGGCCTAGGAACTTCAAACTTTGTATGATGATTGGTGGTGACCAGCAGATGACCCCTATTGAGTTTTGGGTCAAGGGGTCAAAGGTCAAGGTCACATCGACCTTGTAAGTAAAAACGGTTTCTGATCAATAACTTAAGAACGCTTAGGCCTAGGAACTTCAAACTTGGTATGGTGATTTTTCATGACCAGCAGATTACCCCTTTCGATTTTGGGATCAAGGGGTCAAAGGTCAAGGTCACATTGACCTTGTAAGTAAAAAACGGTTTCTGATCAATAACTAAAGAACACTTCGGCCTAGGAACTTCAAACTTGGCATAGTGATTGGTCATGATCAGCAGATGACCCCTATTGATTTTGGGTCAAAGGTCAAGGTCACATTGACCTTGTATGTTAAAACGGTTTCGGATCAATAATAAAAGAACCCTTAGGCCTAGGAACTTCAAACTTGGCATGGTGATTAGTCATGACCAGCAAATGACCCCTATTGATTTTGGGGTCAAGGGGTCAAAGGTCAAGGTCACATTGACCTTGTAAGTAAAAACGGTTTCTGATCAATTAAGTAAAAACGCTTAGGCCTAGGAACTTCAAACTTTGTATGATGATTTGTCTTGACCAGCAGATGACCCCTATTGAGTTTTGGGTCAAGGGGTCAAAGGTCAAGGTCATGACCAGTAGATACTTGATAACCCTTATTAATTGTTTGATCACAGGGTCAGAAGTCATGCATAATTACCTTATCACATGAATAATTGGCTGCTGATAGGGGGCATACATGTTTTACAAACATATCTTGTTTTTTGTTCACTTGGTCAGAAGTCATGCATAATAACCTGATCACATGACAAATTGGCTGCCGATAGGGGGCATACATGTTTTACAAACATATCTTGTTGCCCTTGACTTAGTAAAATTTTGCAATTGTCAACATGTGTCGCACGTAACTCAAAAGGTATTTGACCTAGAGTCATGTAACTTTACAGGAATATTTATCAGCATGTCCAGTTGTGCACCAGATATTTTCGTCTGGATTTATTTAGTATTTTTAGAGTTATTGCCCTTCACTTAGATTTTTTTTGCAATTTTCAACTTGTGTCGCAAGTTACTCAAAACTGATTTGACGTAGTCTTTAAACCTTATGGACAGGTTGCTCAGCATATTTAGATTTGCACCTGGGGTTTCGCTTGTGGATTTATCCAGTATTTGTAGAGTTATTTCCATTGACTTAGTAAAAAGATTGACAGAACAGTGGCGCGGTGGGGGCACCCGTGTCCAATGGACACATTTCTAGTTTTATCAGTTTTGTTAGAGTTATTGCCCTTGACTTACAGTAGTATAAATTTGCAATTTTCAACTTGTTCATGCATAGCTCAAAAAGTATTTCACTTGTAGGCCTGAAAGTTTACAAGAATGTTGGTCAGCATGTGTACTTATGCACCTTGGGGTTTGCTTGTAGATTTATTCAGTATTTGTAAAGTTCTTGCCCTTTACTTATTAAAAGATTTTTAGTTTTCAACTTGTGGCACATGTAGTCCAAAAAATATTTGACCTAGAGTCATAAGATTGACAGAACAGTGGCGTGTGGGGGCACCCATGTCATATGGACACATTTCTAGTTTTATTTTATGTACTTAGATTTCTTTTTATTATATTTTATTATATTGTAGCACTATCAAACAGACTTTTCGATGAAATTGTTTGATCCGAATTTGATGGAAACATGCTCATTTCTGGAAGAAATAACTAGAGAAAGAGCCAGCTGTCTGTTGGCATACGTGCAATGTAAAGGTTTGGTGAAATGGTTGAAAAAGACGATGCATAAATGTACGTTGATCGTTAATCTTTTAATACGCTTTGTTTTTATGTTGTTATGTAAGTAGTGAAATCTTATAATCAAATGATAACGAAAGTTGGCATTATCAGAAATATTTTTATTCTTACATTAAGTGTATTATCCTTAAAAAAATACTCTTAAGCTATTAGGAATTGGTAAAAAATACCTACATGTTTTAACTGAAATTTTGCAACAGATGATATTCAAAATATTTATATTTTTGCTTCATAAATACCGATGTCTGTAATATTTGTTATAGTTATAAAACTAATATCAATAGTCTTTTCTATTACAATAGTGAAAGAACTGAAGGTTTTTGTTGATCTGGCTTTGATGTCTGCGGGAGATGTCCCGTTAATGATGGACAAAGTTAAATGTCTTCATACGGCAGTTACTGGATATGCGCCACTCATTTTCGAGTTAGAAACTAACTCCGGCTGCAAGGAACTGCTTGAATACTGTCAGATTGTTTGGAAAGAATTAGAATCTAATTCCAACCTTCCAAAGATGCTGGTTGGTCTCCAAATAAGTTTAATGTTCTAAAATAACAATATTCATCAATAACATTGATTAGTATATTTATAAATAGATAAAGAAAAATAAGAATCTGAAAAAAAAAATCAAAATATTTGGATGAACGTAAAAATGTTTTTTTAATCCCAACTTCTTTTGCAAATAACTCATGTTTAGTGTTTAACATATTGCATAATGCCTATGTTGTACAGAAAAGGGTTAACATTTTTGCACACGGTATAAACATTTCATACTTATTTGGCTTAATGACGACATTGTGTGCGCTTATTCCTTGTATTTTTGTTACGTTTGAGTTTACAATAACTTTACACCATTTTATGCGTAATAATTGAACCGTTATACTAGAATATCTTTATTCTATACATTCTTTGCATTAGATTGATACAAATAATGAGCTGGCATGGCTTAAAGATATCGCAAAAGCACAAGGATCAGTCGAGGTCACATCTTTCATGCAAGCCGACGCTATCAACAGTTGTGGCGTTTATACTATCGGCAAAATGGTATGTTAAACTTAAAATAAGATAATAAGTTTCAAGATGATCCGTTAATGCCAAACAGTGTTCCGTGTTACTTTTAAATTCTGAGCAAATATAACTATTACAGTTTGAATTTAAATGCTACTCGATTTCTAGTTTGCCACATAATTACAAAGTCTTAATTTTACATATAATTGATTATATTTAGGTTTTATCTTCAGATGTAGAGATGTGATTTTATATGGTTTTTAAGGTACCATGTGACAAAAATGTGCTGTTATGTTGTTCTTTGTGCTTTTGATAATTCACTTGCTATTACCATTTATCTTAGGCGGTAGAAAACGCTTTTAAACTCACAGTGCGAGAGGAAGCTGGGAAGCGACAGAAAAGAGACTACACGCTCGTGCAGCTTCAGGACTTAACAAGCCGGTTGATGCTAGTCGCGGGAAATACTGAAAAGGGAAATGAGAACGTTGAAAACTTTGTAACGGTAAAACGTATTTCAATCAGATTATGTATATTGACTTAACTGATTTAAATCATAGACACTTTTCATTACAACCACCTCCGTGGTCGAGGGGTTAGAGTAGATGACTTCTAATCCAGTTACCTCTCTGGCGTGGGTTCGATCCCCGGGAGATGCTTTGGTAGTTTAGCACGGAGGAAGGTGGTCAAGTACTAGTGTAACTCTCCAGGAACGATGGTTAGGAAACTACCCGCCTATATGACTGAAATACTGTTGGGAAAAGGCGTAAAATGAAACAAACAAACAAACAAAACTTTTAATTACACTTGATTTTATTTAAAATTATGAGACCTAATGAATATATAATCGATCCAATATGTGTAATTGCTCAGATCAATTTAATATAATTTTATTAACGTTAAAATATATATTAGAGTATAACCTTATAAACTTATAAACATTTTAATAATATTGAAAGTGCTCGAAAAGTATGCATAGTATATGCCTTTGTTGATGAAACTAGTTTAAGGGTTACCTGTAATATTGAATTGATCTTAAACAAAGCATTTTACAGGATATGTGCCATTTGGGGAACCATGATATACCAAACTAATGTAAAACTATTTATGTAAATTTAAACTTGTATTACAGACATTTGATGGTATTATGAGATTATGCAACGTATACACTAAACTTTGTTCAGCTGGATGCGTACTTTTCCATGAATGGTCGGTAAGGTGTCTATGCGATGTTAGCAAGCCAGTTGCATTGATACTGCAGTTTGGACAGGGCAAAGATATACCAACAATTAAGGTAATTGTTTGACTTTGTGCAATAGCAATGGATCGCAAAATGGTATTTCAGTTTCAATAACTTTTGTTGGTGTAATACCTTTTCTGTTTCGAGTTTATGCTCGTTTGATTAACTTTTTTTGCTAATTTATATCCCCTTTTTCGCATTTTAGGGTTTTAGGTCACCAAAAGAAGACTTAAAGGAGTTGGTTCCAGAGCTCGCAAAATTCATGGAAAAATGTTTAAAGCAGTGGTTGCAACATATAAATGACAAACGGAAACAATACATACATCTGAATTACTTTACAGTAGACCAGCTTGTTATCCTGCAGACGGAACTTGTGAAAGTTGGTACTGATCAACTCCCGTCAAATCTTGTGTATCCACTGATTTCAGCAGTAAAAAAGACCTGTACCCATGGTAAATTGGTTTAGAATTTACACAATCATTATGTTTATACATAATCATTGCGTTTATGTATTTTGTTTATTCGATATCTCGAATCTGTTATGTTTATTTATTTTATACATTTTATAGTACATTTATACGCGTAATATATAATTCTTAACAAATTATAAAAAGCTGAATTGCAGCATATGTTATGTGATATAAATATTAGACTAAATAAGACTTTACATTATTTATACACTATTTATAACCCCTTCGGTAGCTGGCCAAGACATTTTTCAACATTGCTTATAAGAGTATTTATTAATATTGCAATACCACTAGTATACACATTTCTGACATTTCATATGTAGATGATTTAGTGGAAGCAATGATTAGTGCAAAAGATGACATTGCTGACAGCAAACATCAAGACAAGCATAAAAACGGTAATGCTAAAGAAAGTTTTATCATTCATATTGAGGAAGAAGATGAAAAGAGAAAAACTTTTAAAGATGAGCTTGTTAAAGCTGGATATGATTTAGAACTAGCAACAAAAGCACTTGATCATGTTGATCCTGAAGATATATCTGAAGGTATGGTAGCTATTTGTGTTTATTTTAGTGTCTTAAAGTTTAATATGTTATGTTAATCCAAACAATATTGTATTTATTTATAAAGGAGACTTGGATTTCAAATTGAAAACTTAGCGCCTGGAAGTACAATTTGAATAAACAAACCTATGGGTAAACTTGATTGTTATGGATCATCAACATTTAATTTTCACTTTGCTTTATGCAAAATTTAATATCGCAAATTGTTCTTAACATCATGCAATTCCCTTTCAGTGATTTAAGCTTGATTGTTTCCGAAGAAAAAGCTATGTAGAAGTGGAATAGACCGAACTTTACTTTCACGAATAAATGACCTTGTTCCTCATGTCACTGGCATGTTCCACTTCACTGCATAAAATACAGGTCACTCGTTTGGTTGTTTTTGGGGCTGAATATGGGTACCATTCCTTTCTCAAAATCATATGTATTTTTCCCCTATCTCAGAAAAAAAAAATCACCTCCAAATTTTAAAATACATCAACTTGAAGTAATTTGTTTGATTTGTTAGTCTAAATTAAAAAAAAATATACTAACTATTGACTTCAATGTTGGAAAATTACAAACTATTGAAACCAATGGTATAAAATTGTGTAATGAGTAAATGTGATAAAAAATACACTAAATACATTATAACATAAAATTCCGAATTTTGCCTTAAAACGACGCAAAATTCCCCTTCCTGAGGGTATGGGTACCTGACCCCAGTGTCTAGTGCCCTGAAATAGCCACCAGAGCTAAAAAAATAAGAACAGAATTGTCTGGCTTTCACAAGCTTAACTGCTGGTGAGATTTAGATGCCGCTGTTCCATCCTTTCAGTTCATATGTTGGATACACATGTTTTTATGACAGACACCCCTTCTAGTTTTGCTTAATTTTTGCTATTTGCTACAATTGACTTTTAACATTTGTTATGTATGAATGGATTGTCTTCAAAATGACAAAACGATCCTTTTGGCATGAAATTCGAGATGAATGGATAGTTACTTTCACTCATTAATGACATATTGACTATGAAATCTGGAAACAACGTTATCCATCGGAAGCATGAATCACAGCAAAATTACATGGAAAATACAGACTCAGTTTGATTGAGTCTGTACATGAGGGGTAATGGATAAGTGCAACATCCCTCATGCCTCCTAGCCCCGGCTTGAGCGGTACTCAATTCTCAAAACTTAATAGTGCTGGAATCAATGATCCCAAAGGCCCAGAAAACTATAACCACACTGAAGTGAAATTTGCTTGATTTTTGCTACAATAAAATGGATCGTCTTCATACTTGAGCACAAATTCCATAAGGGCTCTGTTTTAAAGAATAACAAACTAGATTTGACATGACTCATAAATCACATTCACATTAATAGTCAAATTTCACTGTGTTTTGCTATAATTGGCTATAATGGTGTAAGTAATGAATGGATTGTCTGTGTATTTAGACACAACAATCGTTGGTACAGGACATTAATTAAAATTTAATTGAACATAACAATGCGCTTGACCTTAATTTGGTGATAACATGAAAGGTCTTATTTATTAATTTTGCTGCAGTTGTCTACATCTTTGTTATTTATTTATGGATTCAATTTATATTTTGGCATAATAACACTTATATCGAAAGGGACATTTTAAGTAATTCAAGTATGATATTCATGATCAGCTAATTTTAGCTTAGAAATTCATAACTTTGCTATACCTGATTTTGAACTCAACCATCAATGTCAAATAATCAAATAATTCATATTTACTTAACTGTCATATAACTATGTTATTCATATTGATTTAATTCATTCTTAGACAAAAACAACACTTTTGCGAAACTGACATGATGATTAATTCAAATGTGACCTTGACCTTTGAAAAATGCATTTTGAATTATATTTGGTTATAGGAAAGTAAGTTTACTACCTGTATTCTTTACTGCAATATTCTTTCTCCGATGTGCTTGACTTAAGAAAAAAAGAGTCGAGTGTTTGCCTTGCTTGATGGTTGCAAATAAACCTTTGTTCTGGTTTTATTTTGCATGTTAATAATTTAAGGACACTATAGAATAATCATAGTAAAGAATAATTACACACGAAACAGAAACCTTGTTAACTATCGATAAGGTGAGTATCAACTGAACAAACCACTTTTTTATTTATAAAATGAGAAGCACGACCAGGAAAACTCAAAAACATAAACACAATTATTAAATATTTATATATGTGCATGGTCATATCACAAGAAACATGAGTCACCTATTTATTAAAAAATGAACAATGCTTAAACAAAAGAAAGGCAATATAATATACAACAGAAAATTCCTGTTGGGGGATAAACAATCAAAAAACGTATAAACTGTAACAAGGGAGTAGCAGGAAATCAAAATATAAGCAACGGTAATACATTTTTGCATTTTTAAAGGTATAGTATGGTGCATGATGAATGAAGACACAGCAGAAACAGTTGAAAATGAAATTGGTTATAGTGAGGTTAAAGCAGAGGGTGGAGAATCACACTTCAGAGGCTGGAATCAATCCGACACATCTCTTTCAGCTATGATCAATGCCAGTGTATCTAAGCTTACTAAACGGCCGTATGTACATTTTTCGTATGGCAAAATGAATAATGTTTAAATCTTTTACAATTTAATACTATACAGCTTCAATATTTCAGTGGTTTTCGCTTTAAAATAATGTGAAGTTACAAGTTATGAAAAACGCTATCAATTAATATTGAATATTTGTTGTTCTGGGCAATTTTGTTGGTACAAATTACTTTGTTTTATATATATTATTTTAATTGTTTATAATCATAACATTTATTATTTAATTTTAATTATCTTCATTTCCTTTGATATTACATGGTTTAAACCTTTGTTTTAATAACCTTTCTTTTAAATTAAGTGATGAAGGCTCAGAGCCGCTACTCAACAAGTTGTTTACACTGTGGGAACAATTCCTCCACTCTGTAACTTCAAGCATACAAGATTATCTCAGCTTGGAGCATCTTGGACTTATCCTAAAGCATTTAGCTGCTAAAGGTATATTTTCAATAAAGAATGTCATGTCATTAACTTTTTTTCCAGTAAAAGTACTTTTATGTTTTCTATGTAAGTCTTTTCTTACAAAAATATCAGTTTCCTTGTTTTATAAGAAATTTGTTTAATTTGTTAGTGGTACTTACCAACTATTTCAAAAAAGCACACATTACATACACTGTGATGGAAATTTATAATAGCAACATGTGTTGTTTATATGTAGATTCGAGGTTGATAAAAAGATCACTACCGCCAAGTTTTTCTGTAGGAGAGCCAAACGTACTTGTGTGTCCGTCAGGTAGGTACAGGCACAATTCTCCATTTGTTAAATTCTTACATTTTATCAAATATATTCGATATTTTTATGCTTTCTTGTTATGAATTTTATGAGAAAAAGGAGAAGCTCTAATAATCAATTTATTTTGAAATCTGAAAATTGCGGAAAGTAGTTTCAACAGTTTCTTTGAATCTGTTCCCTGTTCCTGATATTAATCGAAACTGCAGTACTCTGTATATTTGACGTTTAAACGTCTAATTAAAAAATTAATTTGAAATGAAGATAAATAGAATCATCATTCAAGATTATAATGTCTTAAAATGATACGAAATGAACATACGAATTTAAAAAATGAGTAATTTACAGACTTTAGATATTTTTCATGTAATTGCCTTGCATTGCTATTGCAAAAACAAATTTTGACTGATCAATGAATGTTCAGTCAAGAACCTGAGCATGCTATATTTTATCAACTTTCTCTTTAAATGTATTAGTTTAACAAAAGTGATACTTGAAATTTAAATAAACTGATAATGTGTCGTATATATTAGAAATGCTTTTAAAAGATATTTGTATTTGCTATTTGTATTTGTCTCCAAGCTGATGTGATAGTGACTACGTTATCAATGTACATGCGAGACAGACACCAGCCATTACCGCAGTCTGATGAAATTTTACTGTGTACAGACAAGACAACTAAAGATGAGGTTAAACACCTTACATAATATTAAAATGGTTATAGTTGTATAGCTTTAAATAAAGAATTATGATACATATCTTTAAAATGTTAGATTTGCTTTTATCTCAATATTAGTCAATAATTGCTTTAATCTTAATCATTACACATGATGTAAATTAAAAAGAGCAATAAAGATGATATATTTACTTAACCCTTTTCCTCATATATACGCAAAACAAAACACTTTCGACCCCCCCCCCCTCCACCTTTTTAGGCCTCAAGTAGTGAAAAAACACCCAAAACTCATGTTTTCGTTTGAGAAATGTTGTTAGAAAAAGTGATCACTTTTTAAGGCCCCCCATCAGAAAGATACATCAGCGGGGTACCAGAGGGGGATGTGCCCCCTTCTGTTTGGGGGGGGGGTTGAAGGGGGCAGCAGCAGCCCACTCATCGCCAAGAAGATTTTTGACCTGTGAGAGGCAAAAATTGGCCTCAGGTCAATCAGAAGGTAACATGTAACCAACGCTGAAAAACCTTTGCCTCTATCTCAATCCATTGAGAAGTTGCAGCACTTTGAAAATCAGTTTGGTGCAGTCAACATTTGTGCCAAGTTTGATTAAAATTGAAGCATCTTTTATAGTTTCATAACAATCTGAACTTTTAACAGGAGGCTTTTCAAGGAAAACAGCCATTTTTCACAAAATGCTCATGCAGTAATTGATTAACCTATTCCATATCCCAGAGCAATGAATGCAAACATTTTTATATCATTGCTTAACTGTTTTAACATGAAACAGGTTGACATATTTTGGCGACGAGCAATATTTGGAAGAAGTTGCAAACTTTATTGTTTGATGTATGCTGATGTTCTACGATACGACGTGAGCGAAGCAGCAGAGAGATGTCTTGATGAATATTTGAAAGAGACACATTTTTCCAAGGGTCAGTTATGTTTGTTATATTTAGTTAACAGTTTTAGACATTTATTTGCATGTCTCATGTTATTTTTTAGATTATATTACGTTACAGTAAAGAAAAGCTGCTCAATATATACATGTTAACCATACTGGTTATGGACTTTAAAAGTTGTCAATCTTTTGTATATTTACAAAGATTAAAAATGACACTTTTACATTATATTCGTTTGTTTAATGTTCTTTAAAAATATAAACTTGTATCTTTCAAGTTGTGTCTTTGATTTGCTATACTATGTGTATTCCAAAAATGATTCATAACAAATGGAACTCATTCCTTGAGCCACTTAAACATCTCTTATCGTGAATGAATAAAAAATTATGACTTTATTTTCAAAGTGAATTTCAACTCGATCATTTTCTAGATTTGAACTATCAATTGATTGTAATTTGTGGTTCGGACAATGAGTACAGGTCAACAATTGTATCGTCCCTGGACAAATACAAGAAACAACCACTTCCAATTAATATTTCCCGCGTCCGTGAGTATGTAGCATCAAAATTGCGGACTGAGGAGGACGACAATATTGGAATCACTCCTGCGGCCTGTATTGACAGCGAACGGTTTGTTCTATATGACATATCATTTTTAGCTCGACTATTTGATAAGAATAAGTAGAGCTATTGTAGTCACCCGAGCGTCGGCGTCCGCGTCTGCGTCCGCGTCGGCGTAACCACTTATGTTAAAGTTTTTGTAATACCTCAAATATTTTCAAAGTCCATTGACATATGGCTTTGAAACTTTGCACACTTGTTTATCATCATCACCTCAACCTGTAGACAGGAGGAGATAACTGTATCAAGCATTTTGTCAGAATTATGCCCCTTTTTCGACTTAGAATTTATGTTAAAGTTTTTGTAATAGTTCAAATATTTTCAAAGTCCATTGACAAATGGCTTTGAAACTTTGCACACTTGTTTACCATCATTACCCCAACCTGTAAACAGGAGGAGGTAACTGTATCAAGCATTTTTTTTTACTATCAAGCACTAAAGAATAGTCGAGCGTTGCTGTCCTACCGACAGCTCTTGTTATTTTCTGCATTATCTTTACAATCTTCATTCTAGTCAAAATATTTTCCAATTGTTTTTTTTCTGTCTTTACAGAGAACCTTTTTTTCTATTTTAAAGCAAAATTCAAGATATGCTTAAGTTTCCCATTAGCTATTTGATGCCACATTCTTTTGCAATTATTTATGCTTCAATTAATGTTAGTATGATTGAATGATGCAGTTTTTGAGACAGTTCAACAAATATGAGTGGTTCTTTGGATGTTTCTGAGTTTAAAATTTCACCAAAGGCACGTATAAATGTCGAGTAATGCTTAAAAGTCGGTGTTGACTTTGTAGAAAGTAGTTGGTTATTGTTTGAAAGTTCTTTAGGGATTCTATTTTGTTTGATTCTATTTATAAAGCGTGTTAAATTTGAAACAACTTTTAAGTGGTTTAATAGTAATATCATTGAAGGTGAAGTAAAATAATTGTTAGTAATACCTTTGTATAAATACCTCTCCTTTATTTTTACATGAAGATCAACTGTAAGGTTGATAAAATCGTGGAGAGCAGGTGTTGGAAAATCACTTTTCAAGACAAGACAGGAGGAAAAACTATTAGCTTTAAACAAAGATATTGAAGTTAGAAGAGATGTCGTATCTATTCCGCTGCATGAAAAAACTGTAGATATGCACAATATTATACAGAAATTACTTGAATACACGCACACACCATCGGAAATGACAGCTAGACTCTTTCACATAGATATTGCACATGAGGTAAAATGATATCCTGTTAATGATTTTGACCGCCTCCGTGGTCGAGGGGTTAGAGTCGATGACTTCTAATCCAGTTACCTCTCTGGCATGGGTTCGATCCCCGGGAGATGTTTTGGTAGTTTAGCGCAGAGGAAGGTAGTCTAGTACTGGTGTAAATCTCTAGGAACGATGGTTAGGAAACTACCCGCCTATATGAAACAAACAAACACACAAATTAATGATTTTGAATAATTTGAGCGATCTATTTAGAGCATTCTTGACTAAAAAGTATCACTTCAGTATGTTATATTTTTCTGGTCCTTTGGGATCATTGACTCCAGCACTTTTAAATGTTGAAAATTGAATGACTCTAAAGCCAAGCCGGTGCTTAGTCTAAGAGGGCATGAGCGATGTTGCACCTTTTAAGTATCCCTTATGTTCAGGAATCTGCAATTTTCATGTAATTTTGCTGATTTTCATGCTTCCGAGGCATAACCTTTTAAGTTCCCCGAAAATTTCGGGGGAGCATATAGTCGCCGGGTTGTCTGTCCGGCCATCAGTCCGTCCATCCGTACGTATGTCCTGAATTCGTGTCCGGCCCATAACTTCGTTATTTGAAATCGGATTTTAAAACTATTTCACAGAAATGATCACCATATTGAGACGACGTGTCGCGCACAAGTCGGTAGACAGATCTAATTCAGTAGAAGTGCAGTGCAAAGAACAGTAACTCTGCATTGCTTAAGTTTGGAATTATCACATTTTGAACTTTGTCTGGGACATAACTCTAAAACTACAAAATATATACTTTTCTGTGTCCAAATCCTAGTCGGGGATCATCACCCGGTTCAACCGGCTCTTGTTTCGAGATATTTAAAAGTTAATCAGTAATTATACCATACAGATTCGTTTCTTGTATAATTTATCAGAATTATCGTTTCCCACAACAGCAGTTAAGCGTGACAGATTAATTTCAAATAACGAAAACACGTACAGAAATACCTTTACCTAATGATTAAGTAAGATTGATATATTATGTTTTAGGTCGAAAATGGTGTAGATAACCTTCTGTTCAATCTCTGCATCCTTGAATGTCTAACAGACATGGCTGGGTATGTATGGAGAAAATCACCTACAGATATTTATCTGATTGAAAATATGCCATTATTGGTGGAGGAAACAAACAAACGTGTAAGTAATTATGTAATTTGATATCTGTATCAAAGGAATCAAATATATTCCGTCATAAAATAAAGTTATTTCTTCAGTACATTCTAAATTAATTACTTGTATTCCATAATAATTGATGATTTTTTTTTAATTAAATGTATAAAGTCAATAACTGTTTTACAATATAAATCTGCACATGAAAGTGTTAGGCCTCTTAGCTGTTATAACCAAATACTGCCCAGAGATGGGTTTGTGATGGCAATGGTTTCTGTCGTTTGTCAACAATCGTTATTCAAAATTGTGTAGGTTACCTTCTATAAAAGTGGTATAAATGGTTCTTATTTAATCTATAAGTTGGTCACATGAACTAAAACTACATAAATAAAAAATGAAAACTATAAAATCTTCTCTTCCTCGGAGAGCACAAAGCCTTAACCTTAAAAATTGGCCATTTATATTGTCAACTGGGGTCTATACCAAGTGCATTCAAATTATACCACAAGGAGTCATGAGTTTTCCCTAGGCTATAATTATAGTTAAATTTATTTCAATTTTCTCCTCTGAACTCGCAAAGGCTAGAGCTTAGATATTTTGGATGGAAGACTGTCTAGTTTAATGTTAAAGCAATAATTCAAAAATAAGGCTCTGGGGTCGAAATTGAATTAAAAATCCTGTGACTTTAATAGCAACAAACGTTAGTTGACTATCTATGTAAAACAGTGACAACCATAGCTACCATCAATATTCCATAGCAACCTGTGATTTTCACAGCAACTTTTGCCTTCGCGAGACAGCCATCAATTTTCCATGCAACTATTTCTTTAACATTGCAACTAGTGACTTCTATAGCAACAGTTGATAATCCGTAGTAACTAATGACTTCCAAGGCTACCATTGTCTTCTCATATCAATATTTCTGTGACTTTTATATTAACTATTAATTGTATTTACGAAGTAACCACCATCTTTCCAGAGCAATCACTCCATTCCATAGCAACGATTGACTTTACATACTAACCATTGACTCGAAGCAAACAAATGATTTTGGAAAGCAACCATTGTTTTTCTTAAGCAACCAGTCACTTCCAATTGACTCCTCTTAGCAGCTGGTTACTTTAACAGCAACCATTAACTTTTAATTGAAACCTGTAACTTCCAGACCAACATTTGATTTTCCATAGCAACCATATTGACTTTTGTGTACACTGTTACAAATGAAGATTTGAACTGTTAATTGTAGTAGATTTGACCTCATATCTGCTTTTCATTTATAGTACTCAATATTAATTATTCATTGTCATGTAAAGCATTCATTATTAGGTGAAAAATATATTATGATCTCCATAGATTAAGGGAAGTTATTTAGACCAGTTAATTAAGCATGGAAATTTCAAAAATTGTAAATGAAATTTCTTTTTCTAGTATATTGTCTATCTATGTAGATGCCACAAATTTCTTCGTTATTAATATCATATAAAGGTGTTTTCTGTTCCAACGGAAGAATTAAAATGAAAATATTTATAATTATTAGGGAAAGGAATTGCACTATGTTCATGCAATGCTGTCTTTTTTACCTGACTTGACATGTAGATCACCAAAAGAAAGCTTGAATGTATACAAGGGGATAGGAATCAGACCAAATGGTATTTAGTTTTTATACCAGATTTGTGATATTACATTGCAAATGTATTAAATCTGTCATTTATTAATCTCCTTGTTAAAATTAAAGTTTTCATGCAAGTAACAATTTATATGAACATATAACTGGTGTGTTTTCAGAGTGAATTATTTAGTTCGTTTGGTCCGGAATTAAGAGAATAAATTGATTTTGAAATAAAAAAATGGATGAACTTGGTAAACATATGTACAATAATATATAGGTGACATTTACAGTACTTTCTTTATCTTGTGGTCACAATTAATTATGTTGTGGCTGCGACCTTTTGTCTTGTGGCGCCATAACTTATTATATTGAGTCCTCAAGATATTACCCCGTGGCCTCAATATATTATCTTTTGGCTACAACGTATGATCTTGTGGCAAAACTTATTTACTGAGGCTTCAAGATATTATCTTTTGGCATAAAGAAAAAGTTGTGGCCACAAAATACTATCTGGAGACCTCAATATAAGACTTATTCGCCACAAGATATTATATTGAGCCCGCAAGATAGTAAAATTAGTGGCCACAAGATAAAAAATAATACTGCAATTGTCACCTCTATATTGCCGTATCTATGAAGCCGTAAATACGATTGTTTTCAAAGTATTTGTTTTTGCTACTGCAGTTATGACAAGGTAAATAACATTTTCAGTCATAGTGTATCTTATCTCACTTTTATTACATACAGATTTCAAACATTCCGATCAACTTTTCGATACAAAAATGTTTCGAAGTCCAGTGTTTCAAAGAACATTTCAGTACTTGCTTCGATTGGAGCATAACGTGACTTTTGAAGGTGTGCATCCCCATGTATCAGAAGGAACACCTGAAATGTGCTTGGATATTTTATTGAGGTACCTACCAGAAATTTTACTTTTTTTTATAAATTTATGACTTCTTCAATATTTTCAAGAGTAATATGAAATTTTAATGTGTTTTTGAAATTGCTGAAGAATCATCGTCGGTTGGTGAAAGTTGTTATTTATTGTACACCCGAAGTCCTTCAGTGTATTATAGTATGGCGGTGTTCGTCCGTCTGTCCGTACATAATTGGTTATTGCAGCATAACTTTGAATGATTTCAGAGACAGGTTGCTATGTCAAATAAATTATACTTAAAATATTGCAAATATTTGTGATAACATAACAATAACTGAAAATATTTTTTATGAAACTTAAATTAAATAAATGACAGCAATAGATTGATAGATGACAGTATTGAGTTTATGCACGTCAAGTTTACCCGGCTTGAGCTTTCATATGAGGCAAGGTTCATATTTCTAGCACCTTTATTAACAGAATTATTATCTTGAATTAAGAATTGTCCTGAAAAAACAAATGTTGTTTTCTATAACTTCTTTACTTTTTAAGGTATCTACTTCAAGCATATGTTCCTAATTATCACTTAAATCATGTTTGAAAAGATTCAATACGCTAGCTTGACTATTTCCAGAGTTATGTCTCCCTTGAAGTCAGAGTTTTTTCTAGAATTTATCTTTTTTTTTTTTAAATTTCTTCAAGATTTTGTAACTTCAAACTTCAAACTCCCACATCATAATTATATATCGAGGTTGTTAAATCTACCGTCCATATTTCCAGAATTATCTCCCCCGTAAACTTTTTATTCCCCTTTTTTATTCTTTAACTCTTTTTTTCATGGGTTTAGTTCAAATTTCAAATATATGTCCATTATTAACACCTACATCATATGTGATTAGATTCATTAGTCATGTGCGCCATGTTTATTTTGAACTTTTGGAATTTATTTTAAAATTGTTGTATGTTTTTAGTTTTTCCTTCTTTGTTACTTTAAATGATATATATTTAAAAATTGTATATTTTTCACTTTTCTTCTTTGTTACTATGAATGGTATCTACTTTAGACCTAAGTTAATTGTTTTTTGTCACCACTTTTATCATGTTTGTAGGTGTTTATAAGTCTAACATCTTTATTTATTTCAAGAATTATCTCCTGTTAAGTTTAAGTGCGTATGCCTGGCCTGCCCTAAAAACTGTTTCCTTAGATTACTTTTAAAGAACTTGAAACTTTTCCAACAAATTTACTTAAATAGAGAAAAGTTGAAACATTAGTTATACATATACATCCTGAGTAAATTTGATATTTTTATTATCTGCTGTATAAACATAATTTCCTTACTAGGATTGGAAAAATAGCATATTACTTTGATACAGATAAACTAAGAACTCAAAAGATTTAATGTTCATTCGTGTCTTCCACAATGACATAATTGTATAGCCACTGCTCTTCAGAATGTTTGGGTTCTGACCTTTGTATTGCTTGCAATACTTTAATAATTGCTTTTTATAGGGCAATATCAATTTTTAAATAAAATTAATGGTTTCTTAATGGGCTCCTTGCCATTGGTTCTTGTTGCTGGGTCATATGGGGATTGCGTTCATTGAACGCCGCCTTTCCTTGTTGATCTTGTTTATCATATTTTAAGCAGAATAGCTTTTGAAAGATTTCAATGATTGTTGTAACATTTTGCACGCAGGTATGTTGTTTCAAAACACAAGTTATGTTTGATATTCATTGCAATCTACTGTTGAACTTTTGGTTGAAAAGAAAAATGATTATGTTTGGCATACAAGCATGTAAATATCAAAACACAGATATCATATAATTTTTAATTTTTTGTCAAAATGAAATCAAGTCATAATGTTCAAATCTTTCTCTTGTACTAATATGTTACCTAAAAAAATAGAACAAATAGATTGTATATTTTTCTTTCACAATGGATTGAAAATATCATAATCCTAGCCTTTTACAACAATAAATTTGCTATCTTTCTTGAAGGCACATTTTTTTACCATGATACCTTCTTGCTTTAACATTTGCTTTGACATGAATATTTTAAGCCATCTGGTACATCATTATATAAACAATATAGATATAATAACTCATATACCTAAACATTTGCTACATAGGTATTGCGGGATTAAGGACCCTTCCTGGTCGGAGATTCATCATTTTGTATGGTTTCTCAATACTCAACTTGAAACATTTGAAGAGAACAGCTTTGTTGGTCCGGCCGCTGATCAACATTTGCCTGGATTTGGAACCTTTCTACTAAGATTTCTGATCCTAATGTCAAGAGTAAGCTAAACATGATTTGTATAAATTGTAAAGGTGTAAACCCGTGTTATAGATATTTTATAATTTACAAATTTGTACAATCACTTGATTCATGTATTTTTTTTGGTGAGAAATGAAGTTTTTTTTAACAGTTGTTATTAGATGGTCAAGATAAGTATTTTTTTTAAAGTATTACTTAAAATGATTTTTGTCAAAAATTAACAAGTCTTTAAGTTTTGGATAGTTTTAGTTGTTGTTTCACCACAATTTTAAAATCTTAAATTTAATATGTGATTTTTGGGGAAAAAAACCAAAATCCAAAAAATTTTTTTGTTTTTATTTTTGTTAAAAACGTAAAGGACTTTTTTACACGCTTCCCCCAAATAGTAAAAATCGCCTGGGGTAAAACATGACCAGTAAAAAGACATTTATAAATTTTCCACCAATGGATAAAGGACATGAAAAGGCGGAAATCAAAAGACTTTAACAGTATCAAAGAGACGAACATGGGGAAAAAGGTTAGTTTATATAAAAATTTCAACTGTCATTAAAATAACCTTATAAATGATTTAAAAGCCCTTTCAAATAAGAAGCATTTACCGCGCTTTAGGAAATTTTTAAAATATTGAAGATTTAAAAAAACGAAAATGAATATTTTTAAATTTTAATTTTTTGGTTTTTTTTAGCCCCCCCCTTACCTTTTTTTAACCGGACAGAGAAACATTTACATTTCTTGGATTTGACATCGACAAAGATACTGGAAATCTTGTTGATAAGCAGACCGAAACAGTTCTAGAGGAGCAATAATGCATCAAAAATTGTACAAAGGCTTGATAAGAAATAAAGCTCCTTTGCAAAGATTTTGACGAACTAGAGAGGTATCAAGTTTTTCTTCTGATAATAAATAATAGTCATTTAATAAGCTCATATTCCACAGTTTGTATGATTTAAATCTTCTGCCCATGTATACCTTAATAATAAAACTATTGATTGTGCAAAAAAGATCTTATCAAATTATAATTGCTTATTTTTGCAAAGAAGTTATATTGGAAGATTATTTTCGATGACGTGTAACTCGCTTAAATTGCAAGTCGAATAACCTTTGTAGACACGAGAAGATCATGAAGTTATGCAAGGTCATGGGTATTGACATGGAACATGATCCGGATGATACATATGAACTAACAACAGACAACGTTAAGAAGATGTTAGCCATCTATATGAGATTTAGGTAAAATGAAATGGTGTTTCTGTTAAATGTTTAAAAATACATGTATAAGGCATAGATTATTTTTATATGACACTGTTTTTACAGTTAAAAAAATATGAACAATTAAACAAATCGTAAAATAAACAGTAGATCATTCTTTCACTGCATGTGTTGATGGAAGGTTTATTGAAAGAGCAACATCATCACTTACGCCCCCAACACCGGTTTTGTGTTTACTTACTTTCTGTTTTAATGGATGTATATTATATATTTTGTCAGGTGTGACATTCCTGTGATAATAATGGGGGAAACAGGGTGTGGTAAAACAAGATTAATTAAATTCATGTGTGCTCTACAAATGCCACCAGGACTTCAACCAACTAATATGATATTAGTGAAGGTAAGTAGATGCTTCAATATGTTATCTTTAGATTGTTTAAAACTTTACTTTTTGTTTTGATTTGTTAATTTTTTTTTAAATATCTTTCTCAAGTTAATGTAAAATTATTTCTTATATAAAATTACAAAGAAGTAATTATTTTTTCTTTCTAACAACAACTGAAATGATTAATCAGATACATAGAAATAGAGTATCTTAATCTTCCAAGATTCACAATGTAAGTGTTTTAAGTTCTCTTATAAAGTAAATTTGTTTCCTAGTAGCCTGAACAAATTGAGACAGATCAAAACTATATTTTTGTCTTCTGCTTATATTTTTTGTGTTAACAAAGGTTCACGGAGGAACAACATATGATGACATTAAAAGGGAAGTAGCAGAAGCCGAAAGAATAGCACAGGAAAATACAGAAAAATATGAGCACATATGTTCACAAGTACTGGTTCTTTGATGAAGCAAACACGAAACAGAAGCTATTGGACTTATTAAAGAAATCATGTGTGACAAAAGTATGGATGGAAAGAAACTTAAACTGTGTGAAAATCTTAAAATAGTTGCTGCGTGTAATCCATACAGAAAGTAAGTAAATAATTTACCAACATTCAAATTTGTATTGATATGTGTAAACACCCATAAAGCTATGGATATGGATTTGTTATGTATTTTAAACGAGCTATTTACACAAGTAATTTTCAGACGCTCCCTAATAATTAAAACTGACTAAAATATGTATGATTTTTAATGCCACCGCACATTTTATTTTTGAGTTGTCATGAAATTGTTAGAAAACCCCCTTTTAAAATTATTTAAATCTAGCTTGGGATCAAAATTTTCATGTCTAGCAAACATTGGCTTTTTTCAAGTATATAATTTAATGAAAGGGAAAAAAAAATGAAAGGGAAACAACTCGTATTGAAACGTCAAATGTCTTAATTACATGTGACAGTGTTATGCATTTTTTTAATAAAAGATTCAATAGCTGGGAGTTAGTCTAAAGCTCATGTCCTCTTGCAAGAGAGTTGTTTTTGCTTTGCAAAATTATTAATGAAGCGTGTGAGGCCATGACCTCTAGCAAAAAAGTTGTTTTTTTGAGAAAAATTTTTAAATGAATTTTAGCACAACCCTTTTAAAAGGACAAAAACATTGTGATTCAAACCATGTATTTTAAGATTTATGTAAATAAAACTGACTGTATTTAAATTTTATAACACTATTCAAAAACAGAAAAAATCTGCATATTTTTTTTTCATTTGACATTCTGGAAATATTGATCATGACCTAAATTCACTAGACAGGGTTTTCAATGCGTGAAGTTAAATTGAAAAGAAAAAAAGAAAAAGTTTACTTTTCTTTTTTTCCCTAGAAAAGGGTTTAATATTAGGGGAAAAAAGCAAAAGCATTTTTTACCAAAAATCGCAATTTGTTTACTTTTTGCAGCCCAGAAAAAAATAATCAAAAAGAAATAAACAGGGCCTTTGGTTTAAAACCCGTTATTAAAGAAACAACAACAACCGGGCCGGGTACCGAGATTGAGACCGTCTTGTGTACAGGGGTCCAGCTCTTTACCACAAAGTTTACTGCCACTAGTGTGGGACTTTGGACAACTGAACAGAAAAGTGGAAGATCTCTATATTAGACAAATGGTCAAAAAGATATGTAAGTAATTTATGTTTATACTTTTTGTGTAAAGTTTTAAAGATATGTGTTTATTTCAACATATTCTTTGTAATGTAATATTTTCAGCTATAATTCTTATGACCCAAATATTTTTGTCATCTTATGTTTCTACTTGTAAACATTAGCAGAATAATGCTTAGCATAATTAAGTACTTTCAAAACATTACAGATCCGAGACGATTTGCTGCCTGATGTACCTAAATTGATCAAAGTAGTTAGTGACATCTTGACGGCCTCTCAGTACTATATGAGAGAACAAAAGGTATATAGAATTTAACTATGCGGTAACAAATGCTTAGTTTATTTTCTTAAACATATTATTTAAGATGTCATTTTACGTTGTGCTGAAGTCAGCATTATATAAGCTTTATAACCAAAAGAATGCCTAAAATATTGCCAAATAGAATGGCAATACGTTTAGGTGTAAATGACTTGATCTTACTAAACGATTACTAGTTTATTAGTTACAAACTAATGGAAAAATGATGGTTAAAACAATTATGCTACAATGTTAAAAATATTTTAATATGGCTATTTAAACTTTTTTTAAAGTATCCTCACAGTAAAAAAATATATAACATTAATGCCAACTTGTAGGATGAATGCAGTTTCGTGTCGTTGCGCGATGTGGACAGGGTTCTTTCTATGATGAGTTGGTTTTACGCTCAAAGTCAAGGTGAAAGGACTCTTTACAAACTCATGGACAAGAAATTTGATGGTGATGATCAGGTGAACATTATGTTAGATATAACTTAAAACCTTTTTTGTTGAAATTATTGAATCAAAAAGTAAATGGGGAATAGTAGATACACAATAGTTTGATATTTATGTCCATAGATAAAGATAGTTTAATCAACAGGCTTACTGACCATGCATGTTTGGTAACATTTTATAAAAGGTAACAGAAAATAATAAGTTAGGAATGTTTAGTTTTCAAGGTATGGCGTTTTATCAATTTTACATGCATCGTATAAGATTAAGTGTAAATTATTAATTTAAGTTTGTATATCTTTATACTTCCAGAAACATTTATACATAATTATTTAAGTATAAATCATTTGTCTGCTTTCAGGTCGACGATTTAACCCGCTCCTTGATTCTTGCACTGGGAGTGTGTTACCACGCCTGTTTAAGAAAAAGAAAAGGCTATCGCCACTATATAGCACACTTTTTTCGACAGCCATGTGAATTAACAAATGGAGGAGACCAAATTAAAAATGAAATTGAATGGTTAGCGTTGTTTTTTTTTTTAAAAAATAATTTGTCTTTTTAACGTCATATTTAAAAAAACAAATAACATAAAATCCTTTGTATCATATAA